TATATCCAAGTAATTCATTTATTAACTATAACATATAATATTACATACATATACACATATATCTGTACGAATTCGTATATACACCATGGCTCAAGGCACACGATCCCAGTGCAAAACTCTTCGGTTACCGCTTGGCGCCGAACCACCAATGCCCTCTATCTCGGAAGCTGAAACAGAAGCGGGCACTCATGAACAATCAATCGGAGCCAGAAGAAGCCAAACACAAATCCGAACCGAAGCTCTATCGATCCCTCTCCCGACTGAGGAAATCGAAATTCAACCAAGAAACGAAGGAACACGAACGCTGCATTGACTGCGACCGAGTAATCCCGGAGATTCGCCTGGCTACCAAATGCCACGATTGTCCGCAGGTCTTCCATGACAACGTCTCCAATAGTCAATACGGGATCGGAATGGGCCCCCATTCAAGCCGCGACATTTCATATACTCATATCAAGGAAATACACTTTGAACGAGCAGAGAATGGAGACATAATCAGATGCATAACCATAGACGAATAAATTAGCATATTGTCTTGAACTATTTCTGTTATCATCTTTTTCTTCGACCACTAGCATGTTCCTTAAAGTAAATAATCGAATTCCTTACCTTCCTCTCCAGCATGGACCCCCACAGCGTTCCCCCTCCTGTTGAGCCTCCAGAAAACGACTCTGTTCAACGACCCCCGATGCCCCTTGACCTTTGGCTCCGCACCGCAACATGTTGCAAAGCTCTTTTCTATCGATATAAATCCGGCACTAGCGAACTTTTCTGTACGAGTTGTGTTTCTATACAGGATCAAGTAGAAGAGACATTCGAATTAGTAAATCGCCATTACTTACGATTCGGTTATCTAGAATCTGAAGGATTCGAACATTGTTACTCTTGTCGACAAATGATTACGAGATTGCGCACGGTGCGCCACTGTTCTATTTGTCAACTTTTCCGCGAAGACTTTGCTAAATACCTAACCTATTCCGAGGCAACTCCTCACTTAGACGAAGCAGCTTCTGTCGTCTGCATTTCCCAGGACTATTTCGACCTCTAGAAGTCATTTCCCCTAGCGAATAATTCCCTAACTCCCAACTTCCAGAGTCAAATATTCCTAAATCTATTTGTCCGCGTTCTGACACTTTTGTCCAACAACCCCGCCCACCGCAGGACGCGACAATATATAAACACTTATAAAATGTTATCATGCTGACTAATTGATGCTTATTACATATATATAAACACTTATAAAATGTTATCATGCTGACTAATTAATAGTATATGTGTCATAAAGCAACGCAAATTATGCGCGTAACAACTTTTAATAAGAGTTTGTATATCTATACGTATTTAACTGAAATTAATGTCTTATAATTTAAACAACTAATAACTAAATTATAACTCTTTCTGCTTAGTTTTTTGTAATATTATTTGTTTCATAAAACTTTGTAGAATATGGCAAGTTGTGTTATTTGTGGTGAAAAACTTATCATACCGAGCGATCACCCAAAGCTCACTCTGCGCGGTCTTGAAACCATCCGGAAAGCCAGTATTAAGCGAAAAGACGGCATTGCCAAAATACTTTCTGCAGGAGGTACTATGCGAGTTCATGAGAAGTGCCGTAAAGTCTATACTCGTCCTGAGAACATTGCTAAAACAAAGCTCGTAGCGTCAAATCAGCCAGAAATCCCTATGCGCCC